TTAGTTCCCTTGAGAATGGCAGGGTCTCATCGTCATCGTCCAAGTCACAGGACCTCTGCTGCTCATCAGAATCGTAATCTTCGGCCTCGTACCTAGGTTGTTGGTGAGAAGGTCCTGGGCGGTTCCTAGCCTCTTCCTCCCTCCTCTATGGCCTACTTCTAGGCGGGACAGCGCGGGGGGCATTTTCATGCCTTCTCTCCGGCTGTTGGGGCATCGGAGGTGGGGGCTGTGGCCTCGTCCGAGGCCGCTGAGCTCGCTGTTGACTGGGCCTTGGTTCGGCAGGGCTGATTCTGTCAAAAACACTTCCTGCTCTCCTTTGTCTTGGGTCTTGCTCATACGGAGGTGGAAAGTTATCATGGCTCATTTGGACCTCGGAGGGTCGGCCGGATGCATAATTGGAGGAAATGTCAACTCCCACTTCCCTCTCGAATGGACTTTCACATCGGTCATAGTCTGGCGAGACAGCCCTATGACTTTGGACCTCGTCCTCTTGCTGATAGTGCCCATGGGGGGCATATGGAGGAATGGGGGAAACCTCCTTGGCCTTGCATCTGGACCATGAGCTCTCTCATGGCCAAGTTTTGGTTGGCTATATCCCTCATGTTGGCTGCCATAGTAGCCATTTCTCTTGATAGTCGTGCCGTCGCACGCATCCCACCTCTCCTTTGGTGGTGGTGGAGCCTCTACCGAACTACTGGGGCAGCAGGCTGGGGAGGCATATTCGTATTTTCTCTTACCCTCCTTGGGGGAGTATCTTCATTAGAACTCATTTTCCTTTTATCAAACTTAGATTTCTCTAAGTGATAGGGGTTCCTCCTGTTCTTTTTCAAGAACAAATCCTTTTTCAAGGGGGGTTGCCCAAATGTTTTTTTCAGTAAGCTTTTACCACAAGGTTGCTCGTGGTTATGGTATGGTTTCCCACAGACGGCGTCAATATGTTGACCCCAAAAAGTGTGCCAACAGATGCCGGTCCCACCGGCGCTTGCGTGGGCGAATGTCCAACACGCTAAGACACGTGGACGGTTTAAATGAGCGGTTCAAAGGGGCGTGGGAGTATCCCAACGACGCGGGACGGTAACGTTCGGGATCCGACGGGTTGTTCGTAATCCGATTGTACAATAATTACCAACCGGTGCTCGAAGATGTATACGCAAAAATGTATAAACTCGATTTGTGTATTGCTAGTAAATGGGAGAGAGTTGAGTAAAATGTAGTTTTTAGTATTGGTTCTTGCATTAGCCTTTTGATATTACACAATGGAAGTATTTATAGTAATGCATATGAAATGGGAGCCCTTGGTCATAGTGGCACGTGGCCTCATCTCTTTAGTCCAAACATCTTTTCCTAGATATGGGGCTTGACTTGCTAGCTTACGGCGCATTTATTGCTTGTGCAGGGCCTCCATGCTAGTGACAAGACTTGACCTTTATGCTTATGACAGACATTCCATCAATCATTCGAATAAGATCCGTGCAGGCGATCTCTTGGGAGAAGTGACCATGGAGGATGCTTGTGGTTGAGGCTCGCGCATCAACTTCGGGGCTTCGTCCATTTGAGGACCTCAGCTACAACCAAAGGCTTCCAAGCCTCGGGC